GAATAACGAAAAATACATGGATGATTATTTCTATATATAAATATTGCAATATCATATAATGTTAAATTGAGTATATTTGAACGTTGATAAAACCCGTCACGGTTATATTGTTTTTGTTGAAGATCAATATCTATTACAATATTATTGAGTCTTTGAGGAAATGCCATTTCTTTTGCAGATACATGAATAATAGTAGGATACACTTCAGATGCTGGATTTCGTCCTGGAATAGGATGTCGAGCACTCATTACTGGAGCTCGTACTTCTTTCAATAGTTCACCAATATCATTAATTTGACCTTTACCATCAAGCCATATAAGCCATTTAGCTAATGGAAACAGTCGTTGTCCAATAGTCTTTAATGTTTCGGTAGATTTTGCAGCAACACTAAATGGTGTAGCATTCACACCTAAATCAATCAAATCCCAACGAACACTAGAATTTGTTAAACTAAGATTTTTATAAGCATTTATAGTTCGTGTGTCAAGTAAAGCAACAAAACAAAATGAAGAATGAATATCACCTCGTACTTGTGGTAAAGGATCATAACAATTTGTAACACACGTATAAATTATTGTTTCACATGTATGATTACGTCCATATCGATTTCTAATTTTATCAAAAATTGATGGAATTGTAAAACCACATTTTATTGGTGTTGGATAAGATTGTTGATAGAGTTGTTCACGATCCTGCAATGAATATAAATCACTAAAAGCACAATCAAATGATTTCAATAAACATCGATTTGGTTGATCAGTTGAATTACGATTAGTTATTGTTTCAGATTGCATTTGAGCAAATATACCATCATTATAACATTGACGATTCTCATATAAATATTGTGTAAATGAACGATCACCATGTAAATAATAAAAATCATTAGAATATGTAAAATTTAATGAACGAGATGGTATAGATATATTATAAATATTTTCAATTACATTTGATTGATCCCACCAAGTCGAATCTTCCAGAAATTGATGAGAATCATATTCTATAATATTTTTTAAATCTAATGATGAATTCGATAATCCTAATAATGAAATAAAATTTGTTAAGATTTTTTCACAATCACTTAAATTTGTTTTAATTAAATCTTCTGCATCGATAACTATCCATTTAATAGATGGAATAGATGTGAAAAAGTTTGGAAAATATTTTGTCGTATAAATAGCTTTGGTAATATTATCTTCCATAGAAATATTTAAGTTATAAGTTCGATTGATATTTTCTTTTATCGAATCTAATTGTTGAAAAAGAAGTGTTGCAAGAATAGATTTTCGTTTAAAATAAATTTGATTCATATATCTTAAATTTATTCTTGCCATTTGATTAATCATAATTGAACATGATGATTCGTTAGTTAAATTAGCTGATAGAGACATGATGTAAATGAGAACAAACGTTTTATTTGTTGAATTTGACGAAAAATAATTTTGTTGAATAATGTGACAATCATTATTTAATTGTGTAATTATAATATTTCCTAATCTTCGTGTTATTATCCATTGAATATATTTCATTAATCCCGTACCATTGTAAGTCCATATAAAACTATTTATCTGTATACGATCGGAACAGTTATATGTTTCATATAGACGTTGATCGATAGGATTCCATTGTAAACAAGAAGAATTAAACGATTTTTGAAGAATAATAAAACGTAAAGGATGAAAATTTAAACGTATACCAAGAAACAAACAGCATATTATTAATATTAAACCAAAAACTTTATGATGAGTTGAAACTTTTGTAGACATCACCTAAAATCATATGAGTTTATGTTTAGTATTAGATAATGAAGATCAAGTATTATTTTTCTGAATATCTGACTGAATCCAAACAAATTTAATTCTCATTCGAGAAATTTCTTCATAGATTTCATATTTTTAGAATGTATGAAAATTCTGTTGAATGAATAATTTCACACAATAATAACACATGACACTGGTTGTCTGAATAAGACATAGTCAAGTCTAGTAGCCATAAAAAGTACTAAAACTGTATTGGTTTTCTAAGTTTTACTTATCATCAAAGTTTTTGAGAAAGGAAGAACAAATCATTTGGAAGCAATGTTGATAAAACAAGAGAAATAGACTTGAATAACTGAAAGCTCGCAATCAAAATTCCTGCAGAGTAACTTTTTTGCAAATTGAAAAAGGACTTTATTCAATAGCTAGCTTCTCCAATAAAGCTACAACGGATATGTACAATGTTCATTTTAGTTAACAATTCTAAATATTGATAAGAAAATCGATTTTGTAAATTACAACATTCTTAAATAAATGGATTAGGGTTAATATTGTAACTGGGATAGGACAAAGTTGAAATTTACTTAGTTACCAAAAAATATCAAAACACAACTTACTTGAAAAATGATGAAAGTAAACGAAACATAGAAATCATCACATTTCTTTTTATTCTTTTATAGTTTAGATTGATTCGATCAATTCATTAAATATAGCCTTAGCTGAAGAGTATCCTTCAAAAACGCTTAGGGTATGGATGCAGAGCAGGCTAATGGTTATACTAGAGACACACCTAATTTGCTCATATGAATGCATGATATCATATGCACCGGATTACATACTCATAACACAATATCTCTGTTGGAAAATTCAAACAAATAATTATTTTCTCACCAGATTCATACTGTGTATGGTCTTTCAACTGAAGTTTCGACCTTTATTAACTACACTCGATGAAATCGTTTATATTGGAGTACGTCAGCACTTTCGGTACCATTGTCGCCAAACGCATTGCCATTGTTGTTGCTATTGAATTGAATGATGTGAGGGATAAAAAAAATTCTTTTTTTTGAATGTTTCACATCAATCCCATTGGTGGCAGCTCAAATATTAATTGCAAGGCTTCCTAGTTGAAGAACAGAAGAGAAAGCCGCATAGAAAATGCTTCGAACAGTTTTGTTTGCTTTTCGTTTGTTCTGTTAGTCTTAATCATGACAGTTGTTTGGATCACTACAAATTCTCTTTCTTTCTAAGTTATATATTTTTAACTGCAGTTGCTATTCTCGTCTGTTAAATTTTGTCAGATTACGAACCGTAGCCGCACTGTCATATACCGATTGGTGAAGAAGTCAAAAGAATATTATAGGCGACATAAAGTTGAACATAGTTTTCCTAGCGACGAAATACACTCTAAAAAAAATGCCATCTGTCTGACAAAACGGTGCATCCATCTATGATCTAGTTTAGACACAAGTTCTATGTGAGAAACGTCTTAGTTTTAGATGCTCGGATCCAAGAAATATTGATGCAGCTCGTTCTTTATCGTAATCCAACATGTGTTTCATGAAAAATATTTTTTTTTAAAGAATCGAGTAAACATGATGGCTTGAGATAGGTACTTTTGTTCATTATTCTTCCTCTAAAATGACTTGATTTTCATGAGTTACATATTTCCGTCATATATGTCTTTTTTAACTTTACTTGATTGAATAGTAAGTTTTATTTGAAACTCAAAACATGACTAGTTTTCTTGATCAATAAGTAGAAAATGGGTATTTTTAATCATGTTATTGTACAATATTCCTACGAATAACAACAACAATGTGTGAGTATTGTTTCATCTTTGAACTGCTGTTATATTTTTCCATATTAGATAAATGAGATTAATTTGATAGCAGTTCGAATTTTTGCCTTGATATTCACGATCAAAACGCATCTTAATGACAAGTGTTTTTATTGCCTTCAAAGAAAAAACTTAACCTTATTATTTAGCACAATCCATTTGATCAATATTTAATGTTTGAAAAGTTAATGATATAATTAATACTGTCTATAAAAATAAAAGTAAGCTACTCTTTGAAAATTAAAAAACATATTGATATATTTTTATGTACATTCATGTTTGAAAAATAGAAATAAAAAATTGATAAATTGTTTTTGAATTTTATGTTTATGTTAAATATTTTAAATGACATTTAAAAATGGATAGAGATCAGTTGGGTAATAAATTATCTATTTTCAGATAATATAATCGATCTATATCATATAGGAAAATATTTAATAGATTTTATGCTTGATTTATCATCAAATAAAAAGTGTTCGCAAAGGAAAATCTAGACAAAGCTAGTCAACTGATCTGGTTTTAATTGAACATACTGACCATGGTCAATTTATCTTATTTTACAGTTTCGATAATCATTTACAATTTTTGAGAAGAACTTCTTGGTTTTCTGTAAAAAAGTAAATAAACTCAAGGTGTTTATAATAGATTGGACGATGAGAAAATCTCGATTCTACACACACGACACACATTTAGTTAGACTTTGACTAATTATCTTCTTTCGTTCATGGTCTACTGTTTTATTAACGATTGTCATCATTAAATATATGATTCGATATAGAATACATTTAAATGATGAAATAAAATAAAAATTTTCCTAATTTAGTCAATATTCCTATTGAACAGATGTTGTTGTTGTTGTTGTTGTTGTTTTTGTCAGTGTCGGCATTATTCAAATTTGTTTCGCAAAAGATCGATCGTTTATTTTGATCTTCATCTATTGATCGATATTTGCAAATCTATTAATTCTATTTGCTCTATGAATTTCATGGTCGTTTACCAAGTACTATTTGTCATATCACTTTGTACAAAGAAAATAAGTGGTACATCTATGAATTGAGAAAACCTTTGTATAATGATGCATTTAGATACTGCAAAATTGGCAAAAGCAAAGCGAATGCATAAAGTAAATGAAATTTGTAATACTCTAAGATGATTATCCTTCTTTGTAAATAAAATTTATGTGTAGTCTCTTATACAGTTCAATTGAAAATAAGTTTATTTCAATTTTAAAACTTATAAATGAATTTTTATCATTGATTTACATATGAGAAGATTTTTATGTGTCTAAATGGCTTCTATTGCATAAATATAAGAAAAAAATGAAAAAAAAAAACATATTTACTTAGTAATGTGAAAAATGAAAACGAATTAATTAAATTGTTTGTAAATATTGAATGAATGATCAGTTATTTTCGTTTAGTTTTTAGAGATTTTACAACTTCTTTAGGCATTGATATAGGTCGAACAAATGGTTGTGGAGAAATTTCTTCAGGTACGATAGATTCTTTCTGTTTTTGTAGATATTTCTTATTTCGCCTATGATCTTTAGGTTTCCAACGGGTGTCTCGAAAAATATTTGCTTTTGATAGTATCCTGGTTTCAGAGGATGGATTTAACACTGTTTGTTTCTTTTTGATAATCATAGCATTGATTTTTTTCCATTCATCTTGCAATGATTGTTTAACTTTATCAAGGCTATTTTCATCATTATTTTTATTGCTATTTTTCATGTCAATCAATATCCAAAGACCATCTTTACGAGATTCTTCATTTTTTGTTTGAATTTCATTGATCATTTGACGAAAATTTTTGCTGGATTTGTCATTAATAATATTAATACGAACATTTAATGTACTTTCAAGAAGTCGAAGATGTGAACCACCTCGTCCAATGAAGCGACCGACTTGGTACATACGTTGAATTTGACTTAGTATTGAAGAAAATTCAAGTATTACATAATGAACATTATTCGAACAGTCAGCTGTCGATGGTATTCCATTTTCTGTTAATTTCATTTCTTGACAAAGTTTACGCAAATCATCGAATGTCAATGGATACGCTCCTAATACAAACAATATATGAATATTTTGTTTTATTTAGACTATTTTTAAAATTTTCCGTTATTTGGATACATTGTTCGCTTTTTATCTAATGAAAATAAAAATGATCGAATCTATTCTACTAACCTGTTTGATTGTGACATGTACAACATCGTTTTGGTAATCGTTGTAGAATTGAAGAACTAAATTCATTTGTTCGACGAATTTGATTAATAGTTCCATGAAATTTCGATAGATACTTTCGATCATGTACAATACAACATGTATTCGATGTTGCCATGTCGTTTACTTCTACTCAATCTTATAATTTTGTGGAAGTTATCTTCGAAATACCAACATGGGAAGTGACAAGCTAGGATGCATGATGTAATGTATTTACATAGTAATGTAATTGCATCCATGATACGCAAGACACGTGTTGATGATGACGAATGAGAAAAAACTCATTTGAAAAGAAAAAGCAACGCTACGCACGTTCTGCGCTGTAAAACACGTTTTCTTGCACAACAATGATCAATATGGATTTCAGAATTTTATGGAAATAACTATCTGATAAGGAAAATAAGCATATTGAGTAAAGTATTAATTTTTTTTTAAATAATTCAAAAGTTACGGATTTTTAATGTGATAGAAATCGACTTCTTATGTTTCAGTCTTTTAGTTGCCATGACAAAATCTCACTCTTTCATTTGACGCATGGGTCACGATTCAAATCAGTCACACGTTCTCAGCGTCTGTGTGAATCAAAGAAAAGCTCACTAAGATCCTGAGAATGTGAGAAGTACACGTTTTAAAGCTGTTTCTGAGGTTCAGTAGCATTTAGGATATAAAAAAATGCTGAAAGCGATAATTAATAGCTCATAGTTTCTTTATATGGTCGTGAATGATTCACTCTTGAAGCAACTATTCTTAACCTAGATGTCAAACGCATACATATTTTAATGTATGGTGTTTTGTAACTGAAATCATTCATGACAAAGTCTTATAGGTCTAGAAAAATTTTCTGAATAATGACTAAATAACTCAAAAAGCAATCGTTGAATTCGATTTAGTTTTTATTTTTAGTCTTATTTTTATGATCTGTTGAGTAAAAAAAAATCGTATTGCTCTTAGAATAGTTCATCAAATAATAGAAAACTAAATAATATGGAAAAACAAGTTTTACTTCATGCTCGGATAGATGCGAAATAAATGAAGTTGATATTTAAAGTTCTTTCTCACGATTATTCTGAAAAATAAAGAAAACGTAGCGTTAAACACTTGACAGTGAAAGTATCCATTTAGTCAAATACTTAAATTGCTTTTGAGTATTAGACAATTAAAGGCTTCTATTGTTTTCATGATCTTGGTTTTTTTTGTTTATGTTCCGCTTTCCAATGAGTTTCTTCTTTGTTATTTAGTAATCATAATCAAATTTTTAGAAGTAATCGAATTGTTACTTGTCATTTCTTTTTAGTACCCAAGTAAGCAAAAAATTATGCATGACGGCCGACATGACTAGTCAG